GTATGCACAGAAAATATTTGTTTATTATAAAATAAATCCAAAACAATTACATCCAGAAAAGAAAAAGAAAAAGAAAAAGATATGTATCCCCACGTCAAGTGGTTTTGATACTAAATTAATATGGATCACTTTTTTTAAATTAAACATTTGAGCACCGGATTTCCACGTCAAATCATATATAAACGTATTTTTTTTTTAAGATAATAATTTAAATTTAACCCTTACGAATTTATTTTTAAAACAAATTAAACATTTGAGCTTTATAAATTTTATTTTTTTAATTTAAATTCACTTAATATGTATTAATTTTTTTTTCAAAAATTAAAAAATAAAAAGAGGAACCGTGTCCTCTACAGTCCACACTCCCATGAAATAGGACTAGAAAAAGCCTTCCATTTTATAAAAAAGAGGAAGGCCAAAAAATAAAAAATAAAAAATCACTTAATCACATATTAATCTGTGTTTCCACCGGAACCACCAATTTCGCAGCGGATGGAACTGAAAAGTGGTGAACAACGCCGGCCTCCAACAGCGCCGCCAGGAACGGTTGCCAGCTCACGGCCTCATCCTCACCGGAAACCACATAATTCTTTAATCCAGTATCTACTTCAACGCCGGCATGTTCGTTTTTGAGCCTAGCCTCTCCGTCTACGACGAAACTCTTGAGGAAACTCAAGATTACTCCTCTCACCCCTTTCGCCGAGCAGGACTTCTTGAATATGTTCTTCAGGGAAATTTACGAGCCAATTCCACCGATTTACAACCTGGTTTTGGCCATGCTACGTGGCTCCGGAGAACATTGAGCTGGAAACTCAAATTTTCATTTTTAAGGAATTATCTCAAATTTAACAACTACTAAATTTGCATGGATTTCTTAAAATAAAATTTTAAAATGTCAAATTACATAATGCTTTATTTTAATATGAAAATTTTAGAGACAATATACGTATTTAGCTAAATAAATAAAACAAGACGTAAACAATGTATGTATAGAAAAATATTATTTATTATGAAAATCCAAAACTTCATTTTTTTTTTTTTTTTTTTTTTTTTTTTTTGTAAAAGACGATAGCATTATACATTAATCAACCGTTACAGTTCTGGGAAGAACATTCCCAATAGCTTCTCAGTACAAAAGAACTAAAGATGGGAAACATAAGAAGGGCATTGATTATACGTAACAAAATCAGATTGTTGGCTAGTATCTATTTTAGCTAAAAAATCCAAAACAATTACACCCAGAAAAGAAAAAGAGAGAAAGAGAGGAAACCGAGTCCTCTACAGTCCACACTCCTATGAAATAGGACTAAAAAATTAATAAAAAAAAAAAAACAAAAAAACAAAAATGAGATAACCTTTTAATCTCACATTAATCTTGTATCTGTGTTTCCACCGGCATGCCAAACAGGTCACGATGCTCTACCACCTGAATCCGAATTTCACCATCAAAGCGCCTCCGGATGACTGGTGAGGGCGACTGTGACTGGTTTGGGTCGCGGCTGCGTTGCTGGTCGAGGGGCGTTTTTTGGTCGCGAGGCGTTTTTCGGTCTAGCGGCGTTTTTCGGGCGCGCGGCGTTTATCGGCGGCGCGGCGTTTTTCTGCCTCACGGCGTTTTTCGGCCTCGCGGCGTTTTTCTGCCTCACGGCGTTTTTCTGCCTCACGGCGTTTTTCTGCCTCACGGCGTTTTTCTGCCTCGCGGCGTTTTTCGGCCTCGCGGCGTTTTTCGGCCTCGCGGCGTTTTTCTGCCTCGCGGCGTTTTTCTGCCTCGCGGCGTTTTTCGGCCTCGCGGCGTTTTTCTGCCTCACGGAGTTTTTCGGCCTCGCGGCGTATTTCGGTCTCGCTGGCGGGTTTGCAACCCAGGCAATGAAAGTGGGTGCATTTAAAATTAAACTGAAAAAAAACCATATTTTAAGCTGTGTGAAGGGTTGAGAGTGAGTTTTTCTTAGGAATTGAGAGGAAAATGAGAGAAAATGTTTACTTGGTTGAGGAGAAAATTTTGTGCTTTGAGATGATGGGAGTTGAAGGGGGAAGGGGTGGGGTTGTATGTATAGGAATTTTGGGGGTGCCGGGCCATTTATTATTCATGAAGTATTTTCCTTAGTGAAGTCCACTTGCCGCAAAATCTTTGAATCTCCGAATGGTTGGGATTTGATCGGACGGTTGCCTAGTGAATTCAGGAATTGGACAGTGCATGAAAGTCGGAAGAAATTTCCATTTACTTAATTTTTAATAATTATTATTATAGAATTAGAATATAGGGGAAGAACGAAGATCCAACTACTTGTATTTGATTTACCAAAAAAAAAAAAAAACCTCCTTGTATTTTCTACGTTGCCAAAACTATCATTCAAAAATCATTAAGAAAGAGAGGAGGCTAGTGGCACTCACCTCCTGCACTCCCCGGCCAACAGTTTCACTTTTATTGGGCCATGTTATTCTGGTATGTAAGAGGTTGCACTGTAAAGCTTGAAACAAGCTCACGTGGCCCAACTAAAAGGAAAGTGTTGGCCAGAGAGTGCAAAAGGCGAGTGCTCCTAGCACTGCTCTAAGAAAGGTATGGCATAGATTATATGTCTCCGCTAAAAGCTCCAATGAGCAGGCCCCACCAAATTACTAGTCACTTGGTATCCACGGAGCAGAACCCACATGCATGTGACTGGGTTAATAATATATAAAAATTATTAAAAATTTATAAAATAAGTTATTCAAATGATTGTCCTTTCTCTACCCTCTTATTTTTCCAAACAATCAATCAACGATCCATGTGGGGATGGAACTAGTTCAA